AATTTTTTTGGATGGCTTTATTATCATTAGATGAACAATGTTAAAAAATAAAAAAAATGATTTTGAGATTATAAAGGCTAAGATCTTGAAATTCACAAAATGAATGGTCTAGATTAATTTTTGGAGGGGACTCATTTTGACCATATTTAGGGTTCAAATTGAACTTTTTTTAGGGGAGGATGGATTATTGAGATGAAGAGAGTGTGTGTGCAAAATTTGGGGTCATACAAATGCCACAAACATAATTTTCTAGAAGTGTCATTGCATTATACTATGATACCACCGTTGCATTGGATCATTGCCCTTATAACATATAATGTAGTATCTATGACAAGTATATTATTATTGCTGCGTGAGCAGTACCCATTAACTAAGGCATCTGATCGGAGCCAAGGAAGCTAATACAACACTAGTTGCTGCCATTTATCCTCGCAATTGCAGCCTTTCCCTCGTGGAAGAACACATATAAATGATATCTAAATATGGAACTGTATAACATGTCATATACAATTATAGATACAACTTATCAAACAGTAATAGTAAAAAAGCTCATCGAAAAATATAAGTGGAATGAATTACCTGAATAAGTAATGTCATACAAACTATCAAACAGTAATAGTAAAAAAAACTCATCAAAAAACATAATTGGAATGGAATACCGGAATAAGTCATCGGTTACAAGAAGTGTTTGAACCGCCATTCTCTCATGGGCAAACTCAACATGCTTAGGTCCATAGCATGCACGATCAGGATCCTAAGCATTACAAGGATTAGTAGTGTAACATAAAGCTTAACATGTCTCATGTTAGCATAGCAACAAAGTACTACAACCCAATGATCACTAAGGCATCCAATCAACACAATACATGTCCAAAAAGTAAAATAAATGCCTAAAAGAACACATACAAATCAACATAATAAATGCCTAAAAGAATCTATCTAACCCCAAAAGTGACAAGGAAATAAAATTACCCAGAAATGTTGTATGTTTTGTTCATGGCAATCTCCAAATGGATTTGTATCACTCATTAAACCTTGCCTTGAACAATTGCAAATGGGGATATGACATCACAAAATTTGACTTCAGTTTCACAAGTTTCTAACCTAACTCATATAGTTTACATATTAGATCTATGTACAAACTCTCACAATCATTTGTGTACATATAAGTTATCCATTAGAGAGCCGCATTAAGGTTGGTCCATGACACAAACAAGATTAAATAATTTACAAGTATAGGAATGACGAGAGCATACCTGAAGAGCAAACAATATCAATATTTTAAGGGTGTGCACTGAAAAGCTTCATACGATGGGCTTCAAAATTGTGGAAGGCTCAAAACATGAAAAGGAAGTTTTCTCGTATAAGACTTGGAGGTTCGGGTTATATTTGTTTGAGTTTGATTCATCAAGGTCCATTAAATTTTTTCTTTGCTACGTGTGCTTTATAAACATTAAAAACAATGAAAAAGGAAAAGAATCATCTAGAAGGTGCATTACATAATAACTCAAAACTATACCAACAACGATAAATGGATTAGAAACCAAACTCTTAAAAAAAATCAGCACCTCTAATTTCCAGGTTCAAAAGTGCAGAAATGTATGAGACTGAACATCATACCCAAAAAAAAAAAAGATACACCTCAAAGCCCAGGAAGAGTGTGGACTCTCACCTTTGAAAGCATGTTGAAGAAGTCCTTGAGTACTTGAATCTTGAACATTGGCAAAGATAAGGAATAATTAGGATTTTAAAGAACAAACTTGCAAAGTTCAAGTAACCAAAAAGAAAGTAATATGTTCAATAGAACGGCCATCAATATGCATAGATTGTATTACCTCCTGAGCAGCCTTTGTATCTTTTATTAAAGCCATAACATTTGGAGCATCAAAAACTTCCTTTAAACTGTGTCTGTTAATCAAAGTACCACACAGTAATCTCATATTATTTCTATACACCAAATCAATCCCAATACCATTATAACTGAACACAAACATTTCACAGAAAAACTACATAGTCACTGATGTATTATGACTACTAGATAAAGCTATCATACCATACATACTTGTACCCTGAGGTCGAATGTGCAAGCAGAATACATGATTCATTCTCTATTAGTGAATGCAGATCTTGCCTTTTTGCCTCTAACAACATGTATTTGTGGAATTGATCCTGAGATACACGAAAAAGAACAAGTTTCAAAAGCAAAGCAATTATCCTGAGCTATATGATATAATAGCGTAGTAGAAAAAAAAATACTATTGCAATAATGGATAAGACATCAGATGGTCTAGAGAATAGACACCTAAATGAAAGAGGAAAGGCATTACAATAAAAAACCCAAATAGTTGTCACATAATAATTGGTTATAGAAAAAAGGCAAAAAAATATACAATGAAAGAAAGAAAAGACTGATGATGAATTTAAGCTTGCTTTACCCATAAAACAAAGGAAGATAGATACTGAAAAAGTAACAACTAAGTCTCTTAAGTTACTTTCATCAGCCAGGTTTAATGATATAGAACTCAGTCTATGACCAATTCCACTAGAACTATTTGTACATCGCTTTTTAGCCTACCGAAACACTGATTCAAAGCTACTGAGTTGCATAGATGATGAAAGACAAAGTAGAGAATTGCAGCACAAACATATTAAATGGAAACTATTGGATCAAGTAATAAACGCTTTGGACATGTATTTATCTTGACTTAATGAGTTGCTAGGCAGTATGAAAAACCATATCCCCATTCGTATGATATAGTTTTTTCTACAAGAACCTCTTACAAAGATAATATTTTGAATTCCAAAATTAATTATCCCATTTGGGATCTTAGAGTATTCATTATAAAAAATTCTCCTTCCTGCTTTCCACTCCCATAGATATTCATAACAACTGAGGTTAGATAAATCATGTCACATTTCGCTTTTAAGAAATAGTCCACAACAAAATATTATGAGACATCAACTAAAAAAAACTCTTGCACATTTATCAGTCACAACATCATTGGAAGCATTCAATTATCAAAAAGAGAAAAGTGATTTGAAGTATTTAAGTTGAGAATGGTTTTAAGCTTAGTAAGAACCTTTGTGAAGCCTGGACTCGCAATTACAACACAAAGGATGACCTTGAAATCAATGTCATTTAGAAGGGCCTGTGTAAGTCATGCAAAGTTTGTTAGTTATCCAGTATCGTAATAAAGAGCAAAGCTATTCCAGTCACATCTTAACCCACCTGCAATACCCTCTCAAAGAACTTTGTCAAAGCCTGCCAAACATAAACATATCCATCATAATGTCAAGTAAAGAAAAAAAAGCATGTAATACTCAAAGAAATAACTCTAGTGATACATTGCAATTCACAATAAGCCCTCGATTTATATATACCTTTTCATAACTAGCAATACCAGGGCCATGCTTTCGGGGAATTGTAACTTCTATTCTTGTGCGAGTTGTCGTCACACTATCAAATAATTGGACACAAAAACTTCATTAAAACTACTAGTCATGAGCACAAGATGCAAAAATTATTTTAGCACGCCTTGAACTATAATAAGCAACATTCAATAATCGGAACCATTAAAATGCGTGCAAAAATTGTAATCCTCAGTAAATAAGGTGACACAGCAATCCATTGACTTTGTGAGAAGGCGGGAACTATAGTGTACTTTCCATACAAAATATATCGAACATTTCATAACAGTACCAGATCCTACAGCAAAATTTCAGCTTTCATATGATGAAAAAGGAGGATTATGCTCATCTTATGAAACCCACTCAAGCATGTATTGATACTTCTTCTATTCTTTAAATGTGTATTGATACTTCTTTAGACAATGACATTGATTATTGTCTGTACCAATTGCTTAGTGCAAGTACCATAGGATTATTACATGCTTATAACAAAGAAACAATGTAAAACACTTCAAAGGAGCCCTTAGAAATCCTTGGTTCTGTTAGCGAGTAAAAAGAGCACAAGTGCATATTGATGGATCACTATTCCTTCATTCTAAGGGAATTATCAACCAGGTCATAGAAACTTCACACACTTAATGGTATCTATTAGCAAACAAATGAATATATATTCGAAGTTCACAATGAGGTATAAAGTAAAATAAACAGCAAAGCAAGGGATCAAAAGAGAAGTCATTTTATTAGTAAAGGACATTTTCACAATCAGGTAGTTTAAAAATTAAAATATACCAAGCAAGGACATAGCATAGGATACAAATCTGTGCCAGTTAGAAGATGATGGGGAGGCATCACAATTCAAACACATAGTCTATAACCACAACAGTTGATAAAAAAACACCAACACTGCCAATGAACCAGGAGACCCCAGGCACATGAAGAAATATGTAGAACGACTTACGGGTTGGAGAGAGAAGAAATTAGGGCCGCAAATATATTAATACTTTGGAATGTTCATAAGCAAGTAAATGAATCAATTCAAATACAAGTCTAATGCTGCCTAAAGGATTTTAACCTACCTTTTGCCGATTAGAAAGATATGTGCTAATCCTTCTTGCATCAAAACTACTGCTAGGTCAGCACTTGCAGCAGGATCTGAAATTTGATCAAGCATAATTGAGGTATGTTTACCCAATTCAGTAGGTGGAACTTAAAAATGTATGCAGCATAGGCCATAAATAAATGTCAGAGAAACCTAAGACTATTTTAATCACTTGTTAAAGTTTGCTCAAGGTGGGGATAAAGGCTTACAACATGCTTGATTGAGGACATCTAATGTTACAGAATCCCAAACATCCTGCACTTAAATATAGACAACATAATGTGAGTACGATCTATATTGACATGAAATTTCCAAACAACAAAAATAATAGGTTGATGCATTTAGGATATCAAATTGAGGAGTTTCAATTAAGATGATTTCTTGAACATTTTATTTGAGAATAAATAAACAACATGTAGTTTAAAATTCTGCTGATCATATGACCCCAAGATTGAACCAAATATGAAATAAGGCCGAAATATAACATGCTTTCTCAAAAACTACAAGAAATCTAACATCATGATGTTGCAAATGAAAATATCAGTCCCTAAAATAAATCAACCCATAAAAAATTTGCTAAAAGCTAGCCGTCACATAAAACAACATAAAGAATAGAAAGATGTCAGTTATGGCCACATATAAAACAATATAAAAGTGAACATATCATACCCATATGCAAAGTGGGCCATGACATGCACGGTTACCACTGTTATGGACTGCTGTTTGTGACTAAGTTTCAGTAGGATTTAACAAGGGATTATCATTCTTTGGTAGGCTATATGTCCAAATGACTGAACCAACCTCACATAAATGCAATGACCAACGTAACATTGTGATCTGAAAAGTACCAAAACCATCCCTTCTAATGGCACTAGCTCATAAAGCAAGAAATTTGGGAGGGAAAAGAGTTAATTCCCACAAACAACATTTCATATGCATGAAAACATTGCTCAATCAGCCAACTTTTTAGAATAAGAAAAATAGCAAGGTTTTAAGTGACATGTTTAATACCTAATGTATAATGCACAAAAAGCTATGAAACGCACTTGATCGTGGCAAACTATGGGCTTAACTTGGCGGGTACCATGTGAAGACAAGATGAAACCATAGAACAAAATACACTTCCAAGACACTGAAGATGGAAAGGCGTAAAGTAAATAAAAAATAAATGATGACCTCACGAATGCAGTATTAGATCAATAACAAAAAATGGAAAAGATAAGCAGAAACATTAGAATAGTACTTCGTTTACAAACCTTCCTTAAAATGAAAGGTCGATGCTGCTCAATTTCAAGTGTATGAAAAGAATCAATTTCAAGTGTATGAAAAGAACCAATCTGCAAGCAAACACATATAGGTAAGTGCAACAATTCAAAACAATCTCATGCAGAAGCCAACTTTAGTTTCAATGAAAATACCTTCACGTGTTCATTCTCTATAATGTTCTTACCACGTACACGTAAAACCGATCCCACACTATCATAATCCACCCCCTAAAATCAAGTTGAGTCATACAAATTATTACTTGTTCAAAACCAACTTGCTAGATTACTCAAACAGATAAAAGCAAGGAAAATCATAAAAAAAAATACACTTTTGATAGTGGCCTTGTTTCTAAAAAACAGCCAGCAAAGCACAAAAGGATAAGCTCTTCTTCCAAACACAACAACTCGTGGTAAGAAAACAAAGACATCAACTCTGATTAAATTATACTGGGCCATCACAAGGTACTTCTGAGATAGCTCATACAAGGTTAAACAATTTTTACCTTGGATCTTTGCATTAAAAAAAAAGAAGGATAGACTATATGGAAGTAGCTCCTTTTTATTAGGAAATGTAAAAACTTGAAGAATTTCCTTGAACTAACTCATTATATTACCTCAACTTCAACCTCTATCTTGAATTTCATGCGACAAACATTCCTTTTTCCAGATCCCACGTCCTTTTGGACTTTCCTGTTAGTTTACATAGAAATTGGCAATTAGCATTTGGACAAAAAAAACTAGATTATGCATGAAACTTTCTAAAGCCTAAAGAGACCATATAAACTCCAGATTGTAAGCTATGCTTCAAATTCATTAATACTATGTTTGGATGTATCAATAGATCAGGTTTGTAGAAATGAATTCAAATTTAAAATGTCTAAGGCTCGCCTGTAAACCATTTTATATAGAATTTCATATTCGAATGGCATAAAGAACCTTTTCTCTTTAAGAAATTCATGTTTGGAAAAAAAAAAAAAACAGATAAGACATGCAAATTTGGTGCATATTTAGATAGGTAGATAAACAAATACATACACAAAAATATGAGAGAGAGAAAGAGAGGGAGAGAGAGGGAGAGAGAGAGAGAGAGATAGAGAGAGAGAGACAGAGAGAGATGCATGCATGAATAACTGACCTACAAACTTTATATAACAAAATATGCATACTGATGGATCATGGGATCACAAGTGCAAGAAGAATTTTGAGGCTTGTTCAACAAGTTCTTGAATGGAATGGATACCCCATCTATGAATGCACAATACCATGCCAGAATTCAAAGCTCTAAAACTAGGATTGGAAGCAATGATTGAAAAATCCATGGTTTGGCATCGCCAGTCTAATATGGAAACTCCTCACTAATAATCTAACTAGATTTTTCTTTACCCCCCCAATGGACATAGATTGAGGGAAGAAATATTATGCTCAACAAACTAGGGAGAGAGAGTGGTAGAAAGGATATACTAATTATCGAAAATAGAAGATTCACTTTTCTGCCGAATTCGACTTCCTAATACTTTAATCCTAAAATATTTTCGGAATCTTAGGTAAAAGTAAAAGGTTCCCAAACTGGGAATAAAAGACGTATTAATTTCCTCTCCCCCTTGCATACTTGTATTCTATCGACCCAAGCTTACAGGAACTCAAGAAGGTTCAACTAAACCAAATTGGACAATTCAAAGAACATTACATTGCTGAAACTGCACCTATGTTGCAGCCAATTTGATGATATGTATATATAGTCTCCATGAAACCAAATCCCAAAACCAAATTGAATTATTCAAAGCATATGAATATAAAAAATTAGCTTTACTTGATTATGAAAAAAGCTATAGAGAGATAATTAAGTTGGTGGTTTACCTTACAGTCACAGCCCTAACCCTGTCGCCCTTAGATATGAGATTATAAACCTGCCATAGCTCATCGGTATCCTCGGGGATCATCTACAGCCAACAAGAAGGCAAATATCCAAATAAATAAATTGAAATATCAAAATAAATAAACTGGAATAGAGAACATTGTTGAGAGTTCAGAAGAGAGTACTGTAGATAGAGTTAAAAATCGAGAGAATATTGAAGATGGGGTGAAAGAGAGAGAGGAAGGGATTAGAAAATAACCTTGGCACTACCGGCTCCATTAGGGATGAGATTCTTGTGAATCAGTCTCATTTTCACTAAATCTAAAACTTCACAAATAAAAAATAGAAACAGAAGAATCAGTCCCATTATTCAAACGGAAAAGAGAGAACAAAACCAAAAATAAAAATCTTAAACTCATAATAAAAGCACAAGGGCTAATGTCAAATAAAGCAAGGGTTAAAGGGGAACAAGGGCTAATGTCAAATAAAATTAGGGTTCGAGGTGCATACCAGAGCACAAGAGATACGCTAGACGTTTGCAGAGAGAGAAAGAGCTCAGAGAGAGAGAGAAAGTGCTCGAGAGGAGCAGAGAGAGAAAGAGAAAGAGCTAGAGAGAGAGAGCGCGCGCTTAAGACAGGAATGAATAGTAGAGAGAGACCTAGAAGGCCTTATATAGATAGGTGAACAAATTCGAAAGTTAGTTAGGTTCATAACTAACCATATATATCTATCAATGGGACTTATCTATAAAATTAAAACATAAGAGGTTTCTATAAAGCCTAGACTTTATAAAAACAAAATTAGGCCCGACCTCAAACCCTTATCCAAAAATTATTTTTTTGCAATAGAAATCTTCTCTAAAATTAATTTCGAACATCGACAATAAAATTTTGAAATTCAAAAAAGAGTACAGGTCTTACATATCTTTGAACACCAAAAGGTTTTCCGGTACTTAACTTGCATTTTTTGATGAGTTATAAAGCGAGACTTGACTTATTTTACAAATCTTTGAACACCAAAAGGTTTTTCGGTACTTAACTTGCATTTTTTGATGAGTTATAAAGCGAGACTTGACTTATTTTGATAGGACTGCAGCCCTATCAAACCATTTTCTATTAAAAAATTGAACCATAGAGAGGATGTGAGGTATATGAATGCTAAGGGATCCTATCTTTAGAGAGAACTTAGGACAACAAAAATAGGGATAGGATAAATATGACAGAGAGGGAGAGAGCACGCACAAATAAAGGAGGACTACACGGATTTCTAGGGGTGCACAAATTTTAGGAGACTTATAAAAGGGAGTTTAAAAAGGAGAGAAAATATATATTCCTTCTCTTTATACACAAAAGATAAGATAAATGAAAAATAATATAAAGAATATTAATGAAAAATAATATGAAGATGTATCCAAGTATAATCCAAGAATAGAAAGAATAGAGATTTGAAGAGATAGAGATAAATGAACAAGTTATAAGGGCTGTTGGATTTTTACCCAATTTTACAACAAAATTTTCCATTTAAGAGTGATTGTGTAATATCGTACTCTAAAATTCAATGACTAAATCCTAACAAATTTTTTTAATTGAACCAAATCACGATATTATTTTCTTCATATAGATGGGGATGCCGTTCAATTCCAATCACAATATTATGTACTATTTGTATACAAAAAAGATGTCTTTTTATCATTTAACTAGTTTTGTCAAATTTGCTTAGGCCCAAGCTTTTGGATTTTAGAACTACACCGAAGTGAAGCAAAGCTTGGTGCTACCACTGCTGTCAGGCTGCTTTGATTGGATTTGGGTCAATTCGTTTGAAGCTTTGGTTTCTTCTGTCAAAGCAAATAAATATTTATATAAAGTTTTTTTATTATTAATTTTTTCATTGTTTTTATTTATTTTATATTTACATATCTAATTTATTTATATTAATTATTAAAAAAAATAAAAATAAAAAATTACATATATATCCGTTATAGTTGCCGTTATTACGGCTTCAGCAAATAATTTCCGTTATTACCACTGTGTCCCTTTTTTTCCGTCAAAACAATTTTTTAAAAAAACAACGACTACCATTTTTCAGTGGTCATTTTTTTCACGTCAAAACAATTTTTTTAAAAAACAACGACTCTACCATTTTTCGGTAGTTGAACACCTGAATTTAAAGTATTTTCGATTGTTCAACATTCGAAAACGGGCTCAATTTCAGTTTTTGAATAACCAAAAATTTAAATAACTATAAATTTTTTCTGTGTCTTGTGGGTCTATGTATCCTCTTTATATCTCTCTATATTATAGAGGTAAAATTTTTGTTTTTTTTTAAACTCTCCTTACCCTTCACTCAGCTTTTTTTATTAAGTTTCACCAGCGCATTGAGTGGTTTTTTTTTTAACTCTCTCTACTCTCCTCCCAACTTTTTTTAATAAGTTTTACCACCGTATTGAGAGAGGAACAACGTATTGAAAGAGGAATTTGGCATGGTTTGGATATTCAGATAGCTCAAAGAGCTTGAATTGAGGAGAGATCGTTTCTGGTAAGGCATCATGGGCTAGGTTATAAGTTTCCATTCTCCTCTCATGTAGATATTCCCAACTCGAAGAGCGTGTATTGATGAGATCTCTTGTTGAAAGTAAGGCATGATGGGCTGGGTCCATTCTCCTCTAATGTAGAGGCTCAAACTAGTTGTTCTTTTTTATTTTATCTCATAACTATGACGTCGAGAGATAGAGAGAGAAAACGCCATAAGAGAGAAAAAACATTTTTATGTCCTTGAAGAATAAGAAATTTAAATATTTCAGTTCTTCAACAACAACAAATTTAAAATTTTCGGTTCTTCAAAAACCGAAAGTACTTTGAATTCGGTTGTTGAACAACCGAAAAAGGTAAAGTCGTATTTTTTAAAAATTTCCTTTGTAACATGAAAAAATAGACACGGTGGTAGTAACAGAAACTATTCAGTAGAGCCATAATAATAGAAACGATAACGGATATGTATGTAATTTTTCCAATCCGAAATCTTCTCCCAAATTGGCTGAAGCAACGACTTGTTTCATTTTTTCTCACCAAACCGAAGAAGATTCCAAAGTGTATTAATTTTCTACAAGAAAAGGGAAATACAAAATCAGCTAAAGAACACAACCCTAATCAATATAAAGTTTGATGAACCAGTGAATTCAGACTCGGTATTGAGGCCAACATTCCCCTTTAATTATTCAATCTAACTCCAATCAAACTTGAAAATATTGATTTACAGAGGAAAGAAGAACTCCGAGAAAAACACGAATTTGGATAATATAAATATAAAGATGCTCAAATAAGTTATGAGAAATAAAGTAAGACTTTAAAGGAATATATCTTTAAATTCAAAGGAAAAAATAAAAATTTTTCTCTCCCTTACTTTCTTTCTCTCTCTCAATAAAATTATCAAAAAAGAAAATCTGACTTAACTGGATTTCTCCGAGAGCAGAGTTGCTCTAGGGTCGAGACGAGGTGAATAATGGACCTCTCTTTTCCCTCTCTTGTTTTTATTGCGGGAAATTTAAAAGCATTAAATTTTGTAATTTAAAATGTAGTTTTTATATATATATATATATTTTAAAGAATAACCTTTAAGCATAAGAATTTACAAGTAGAAATAAAAATTTACAAGTAGAAATAAAATGTTCATGAATAATTGAGAAATAAAAAATATAAGACCTTGAGAGAGATCCTAAAGGAGGCACGCTTTCTCTTCTTTTCCTCACCGGGTTGAATTTCCTAATCTATGGAGTGAATCTCGCGAAAATCGGGAAGAGATTAATTCGGCTATAATTAATACAATAAATTATTTAATGTTCACATAAATAGTGCATACGCAAATACATAAACGTTATCTAGTAATACATGATGGGTCCATACATGATGTATAATATTACATGATAAATAATTCTATATAGTAGTATTATTTTTTGGGTAATTAAGTGGAGATGAGGCTTACCCATTTTTTGAAATTATTAGTGGTTTTTTCATGCGTTAGGTGAGATGGGGTTGGGAACATGATTAGGTGAGATGGGGTTGAGTAGCACCGCTTGTGCCCCAACTAAAGTTATATAATATTCCATAAGGAAAATTGTTTCATGCGGGTTGGACCGCATTTCTACATATGCGATCCATAAAGTGTAAAGCATCCATTTTTAAGATGGATACAAGTAGCTGTTCCATTCTGAAAACAATGGAAACTAACAGT